TTAAGAGCCATTATATTTTCACAATGGCCTCAAGGTTCTTTTAAGCGGTTGACAATTTGATTTCTTATTTGTGATCTCATACATCAAAGCAGACAGCTTTCATTTTCTCCCGAAGTTCCTTATCCGGAGTACCCTGCGAGGTTGGATTTACGGAGACATAACAGGGTCGTGATTCACCCAACCGTCGTCGTTAGCACGTCGTAGCAGTGTCACTTGAAGACGAGAATATAGGCCGGCAAACGCCAGTGTGGTACGCGTTGCTGGAATCACTCTACCTTCTTCCTTCTTGGAAGCCAGGGTCCTTTGAGTTTCGCAGAAAAAGGGGACCATTATCGCCGCACCCGTTGATTCTATGGGGCCCAACAATCCCTTCCGGGTAAAATATTCCCTTAGGATGTGACCATTGAAATCACCGAGAACACTTAGCTTGTTAGCCGTTGATACAGTTGCAAGAGGGCACGCTAGCTCTTGTAGAACATTAAACTCCCCTCGTCGCAGCTAGCCGTTCGGAGCAGCACAGATTCTGACAACGGTGGCAAATAAAATTTCCTAAAAAGGCTGCCACAGGGTCACTAGACAGTCATTAATACCCATAAGGAGACGAAGCGGAGGTCCCACGATGTCGTTGCATCACTATGCCTTTGGGCGACTGTTACAGAGGAAGGTGTAGCCAGCAAACACCTCCTCCAGCTGAGTCTGTTTGGATAGTCAGGTATCGTCGAGATTCGCCTTCTCCCTCTCGTGGGAGGACCAATTTTCGATTGATCAGTGCCGTTCTTCATTCTGACTGGCTGCTCGGCAGTAATTTCAAATAAGGCGAACATTCCAGACCACCAGAATCATCAAATTCACCTCATCACTCTCTAGCAGCAATTAGAGGGAATTTGAATGAGTGCTGTTGCTAACTGTAAGGTTTTGTCCGAAATGTTTAAATATACAACCCACAGTTAGATTGCGATGGTGTGATTTCTCGGCAGTTTTGTGGGAAAGTTTTATAGCCCATCCACTCCCTAGAAGCAAAATGGCGCTACCCATAAAAAGGTCGGCACAGAGAGCATAAACGACCTATTAACTTCACTTTGTGCCATGACATTGTCTGTTGGAAGGACTTTCCACGT